GGGGCACAGACACAGCCACGGTCCCACGTGTGGAAGCTGTGCAGGATCTCTCCCCTGCCAGGGCCCCCTGGCATCCTGGGCCCTGCGTTCGCTGGCGCTGCTGCAGAGAATGCTCCGAGCTGCACGCAGGACTGGGAGCAGCAGCGAGCAGCAGGGCCTGATGTCACCATCTGCTCAGAGCCCATCTTGGGCACAGAGAACCCAAAGTGAGAGTATTTGGGTTCTTGGGGAGTGAGGAGGGGCCAGCAGAACTGCCTCCTTGCTGTTGAGGAGCCTGGCTGAGAGATTTCCTTGGGAGTCTTGAAAGGCACAGAATTCCTCCAGGGAACTGCAGCCCTGTCAGTCTGACCTTGGTGCTGAGGAAGCTTAAGGACCAGATCCCCTTGAATACCATCACACTGCACGTACAAGATAACCGAGGGATCGGGCCCAGTTTAGATTGCATATTAGGAAAAAATTTCTCCATGGAAAGGGCTGTGCAGCCCTGGCACAGGCTGCCCAGCAAAGTGATGAAATCATTGTCCCTGGAGGGATTTAAAAGTCATGTAGATGTGGCACTTGGGGATATGGCTTCGTGGTGGCCTCTGCAGGGCCGGGGGAATGGTTGGACTGAGTGGTCTCGGAGACCTTTTCCAACCTAAACAATTGCATGATGCTCTGTAGTAAGTCATCGTTATTCAAAGGGCTCTGTTTGAAATCTGGCATCAGCAACACAGAACATGTTGCATCTTTGCTGGTACCTCTTCAATCTGGTTTGCAAGACATCCTGGAGGACGTGACCTTGGAGGCGGGCAGCATATCGAACCTGCATAATCCGAGCATCTCTGCATCAGCGGCAGCCTGTTGGGCACCGGGCAGTTAATAAATAATGAGGATGTCAGAGATGACAGCAGGAAGGTGGGAGCAGGTGCAGCTTTGCAGCCAGCGCTCTGACAGCTGCCTGGCAACTACAGGGTGAGGGCTGGTGTTCATCCTGGCAGGGTCTGGCACCGGGCAGGGGCGAGGGCACGGGCTGAGGGCACTGCCCAGGGCTGCGGGCACTGCCCAGGGCACAGGCACTGCCCAGGGCTGTGGGCACTGCAGAGAGCACGGGCACTGCCCAGGGCTGTGGGCACTCCAGAGGGCACGGGCACTGCCCAGGGCTGTGGGCACTCCGGAGGGCACAGGCACTGCCCAGGGCTGTGGGCACTCCAGAGGGCATGGGCGCTGCCAAGGGCACGGGCCGAGGGCACTCCGGAGGGCACAGGCACTGCCAAGGGCTGCAGGCATTGCCAAGGGGTGCAGGCACTGCCTAGGGCACAGGTGTGGGCGCTGCCAAGGGCACGGGCCGAGGGCACTGCAGAGAGCACGGGCACTGCCCAGGGTGCGGGCACTGCGGAGAGCAGGGTGCGGGCACTGCCCCGGGCTGGGGCAGCTCCTCGGGACACAGCTCCTGTTCACAGGCGTTTCCTGCAAGGGTTGAATTGCGCCCCACCAACACTCAAAGGTTAGGAAGCTGAGGTGTGATGGATCTTCCGATGGCTTCTGAAATATCTGGTGAGAGGGGGCTGCTTTCCAAACAGCAGAATCTTCACCAAAATGATCTTGATTTGAATAAGTATTCCATCCTTGTTTGGTAAATATACCCAGTGTTAATGGTGCTTAATGGTGCCTGTAATTGGTGTCTAAAGTTATTTAAAAGTAAATTTACTAGAAAATAATTAGCAATTTTATAGTTCACTACTTCCTAATTTTGTCGATAAAAGTTTTTCTGTGGTTTTTATCAGATGACACAATAGGACCATGCTGTGAAATAACCTTTTTTTAAACAAGCAGGAAATTGTGCGCACAAAATAAGATTAAAAAATTTTCCTCCGAATTTCTTACTCTGGCAGCCAGCCCTCCCTCATACCTCTCTCTTTATTAGCCACTGATTTATCCTTAATCAGCAGCAGTGAAATCTCCCAGGTATTGCTCGGGGATTTGTTCTTGTGGCCTTGGGAGGTGCACCCCAAACTGAGCGGTCAGTGAGGAGAGCTCTCCCCCCTCCAGGACCTGCAGGCTGGCCCAGGTGTTCTGCTCCTGGTGCTCATTCTGCTCCTGGCTGCAGCACCTGCCTTGCCCAGCCCTGTGGGCCATGGGGGCCACGGCCTGCGGGGCATAGCCAGGTGGGCCGGGGTCACGGCAGCCAGGTGGGGTCACGGCAGCCAGGTGGGGTCACGGCAGCCAGGTGGGGTCACAGCCAGGTGGGGTCACTGCAGCCAGGTGAGCTGGGGTCACAGCGAGTGCTGTCCTGCTGTGGCTCCTGCTCATGGGGTGTTGGTGCTGCTGAGGGGCCAGGAGAAATGGAGGCAAGAAATGCAGCTGCTACAATGATTTATTGTTGAGTGCTGGGGGTTCCAGGGTTCGGTTCAGGACAGTCACATCGCTCAGGTACAGAGACACTGACGGACAGAGACGCACTGGGGAGGCAGTGACAGCACAGCAAGAAGATTCAGAACAGAGCCACTCTCCATTTCCAGTCTCTGAACCAGAAAGTACCAGCTTTTCCAGAACAATGAATCACTCAGTCTGTGTATAAAATTAAATATAATTTATGCTTTGCTAATTGAAACCAAATACAAAATTCAATTTCCTGGGTATTCTAATGCTGACATTTGAATAGTTTTTTTTAAAAAAAGTGTTATTAACCTGACTCTCATTTGGCAGGCCTCTCTCTGGCCAGATAGAAAATAATCCCCCCATCCAGCCCCAGCTGCAGTGGGGCGTACATGGGGCGCATTTCCAAAGAGCAAAACAAAAGAACGCCACCCACAGCCCAGCCCAGTGCCCGTGCCCCAGCGCAGGGTGCTGGCATGGCCCTGCTCCCTGCAGCACTGCAGCACTGCAGCACCACAGCTGCACCTGGGACAGGGCTGGGGGCTGCACTGCGCTGTCCCACCACGCTGCGTGCCCATGCAGCAGGCACCCAGGGCACAGGAGCGGGGTCTCCTCTCCCATGGGCGCCCATCAGCTCCTGCCCAGCTGGAGATGGCGTCTGGTATAAAAAATAAACTCTGAATATATGGCAGAAATGACAGCAGGGAGTGTGGGGGCAGCAGTGAGGAGGGGCACCGGGTCCCCAGCCCGCCCAGGAGCCCCCAGCCCCGAGCTGAGCCCCTGTGCCAGGCAGCCAGAGCCAGTGCCAGCGCCATGCCCAGCCCTGCTCCACGCTGGGCTGCAGGGACAGGCAGAGACTCCCAGACATCCTCTGCTGAGGGGCACACCGGGCCTGGAGCCCCTTGGCCTCCATTCAGCATCTTGCACCAAATCCTGCAACCACAGGTTTCCGATATTTGAATAATGTGTGAAACATCATAAGATTATTCTTATTATATACTTCCAAATTTCCTGTGGTATTTTGGGAGTTTGTGGGTAGTGAAAACTGTGCTATGTCAGGAGCTGTTTTTACACCTGCCCAGGCTGATGGGAGCTGGCGTGGTGGCAGCAGGGACCTCGCAGTGTCCCTCAGCACGGGCCACACAGTGAATGGTGCAAATGGCTTCAGCTCTTCTCACGCAGTCCAAGGCACCAGCACCATTCCATGGCATGGTGAGCCACAGACAGGCCCTGGAACCCTGAGCAGGGTCAGCTTCTCACCCAGTGAATGCAACAGTGATTTCATCTGCTGAGCTGGAGCTCGAGGGAGTTCTTTCACCTGAACCAGAACTGGGTCCTGGTCCTCCCGCAGCAGCCCCTTCCTGCACCCCTGCTGCAGACCTGCCCAGGGTCAGGGGGCTCTCATGGGGCTGCACCCGAGCTGCAGGCAGCCTTAGCCCTCATCAGAGCAAAGAGAGCTGCCAGCAGAGTCTGAGTGTCCTGAGGAGTCACCGTGCCAGGGACCATTGCAGCAGCTCTGCTTCACCTCTGCTCCCCCCCTGCCTGGTTTCCTGCAGCAGTGGAGGTGGAGCTGTGCACTTGTGTGAAAGCTCTGCTCCTCTCTGCCGGCCCAGCAAACAGCTCTCATGACACCGGGGGATTGAGTGGGGATAGACGTTTAGTCTATAATTTCTACCAGGATTTGCAAATTTGGGTGACTTGGTCATTTCCACTAGAAAGCACATGTTTTGTGCGCTGAGCAGTGCTTGCCCTGGGAATCGATTGCTCTTTTGTAATTCTGAAGTCAGATGAAGGCTGCTTCCCTGCTCTGCGACCCCAGCTGTCCGCAGCCAGCAGCAGGGATTGCATTTTCAAGGTGCAAACAAATGGCAGTGCCAGGGGTGCTGCCTGTCAGAGCCCGTGCCATCTGTCCCAGCCCTCCTGCCCCTCGGTCCCCACATGGCTCCAAACCATGGGGCAGGGAGCAGGGCAGGGCACAGCCTGGCCAGGGGGAGCTGCGTGGGCACCACTCCGGGCACCACACTGTGCCTTGGCAGCCTGGCTGGGCAGCGGGAGCCTGGCTCACTCTGGAGCCTGGAGTGCTCGTTCAGCCTCCACAAGGATGGAGGCCTGGGGGGATCCCAGTTCTGATCTCACTGAGCATCTCAGCAAAAAGGAACAACTCTCTTCCAACAGGGGAGGTGTACCCATCAGTCAGAGGAGAATTGAGACCAGGTGTCTGTGGCACTTGATAAATTCTAGTTTTAGTGCAAGAAGTAATTGAAACGTTTGGTGCAAATGAAGTTCCTGTACATAGTTCCTTTGCAGCATAACTGGCTTTACTCCTTCCACACACGAAGACCAGTGTGCATGTGAGTGCACAAGGCCTGAATTTACCAGATCTGATGCTGCTGTTTGGGCAAAACTAAAGTGCAGGGCAGGAGAAATCAAATCTATGGGTTTGTCCCAGTGCCGGGTTTTGGGAGCCACCCCCTTGCTGGGCAGGAGGTCTGGAGCCGCCTGCCTGGCTGCAGGGGGACCCCAGCAGTGACACGCTGACACAGAGTGCCCCTCACCCTAAAGGAGCCTGCTCCCCCTGCCTCCTCCTCCTCCTCCTCCCACCTGCCCCGGCCCCAGGGCTGCGCTGGGGAGAGCCCAGTGCAGCCCGAGGTGACACAACAGTTCCAACTGCACACCTGGGGCCACCTCTGCTGCAGCCCTGGCAGCACGAGAGCCTGTCACACACAGGGATGAGCCTCTGGCCCCAAGAGAGTTTTGGGTCTCAAATGATGATTCACATCCCAAAAACAAAAAAATATTTTTTCCTGATTTTGTGGTTCTACTTATCACTTTCTTCCTGCTCCCACTGGAAATCTTGGCCTGTCATTTGGTAAAACATGACATTGAAGGGTTTGTAAAACTTCCGCAGTCTGTGGATGACATCTGGGTCTATTTTGGGGTGAGTTCGACCCTTGGACTTGCCCAAACACCGGGGAGCACTGCTGTCCTCTGGCTTCTTTAGACAGGGAAACCCCTTCGTCTTATTAAAATAAAAATGCTTCTCTGTCACAATCCTCTTGAGGCCTAAGAAGTCCTGGACCTTGGCCATTTCCCCAGCTGGGTCAGTGATGAGCCTCTCACCACTGACAAACAGGATCTGGGAGAGGGGGAAATACTGGAGCCAGTTTTCCAAGTGCAGGGCATAAATCCCAATGCGGATAGCGCTCCAGGAGGCATCAATCAGCCCCAGGGTCCTGTTCTTGAAGGCCAGCACCTCGAAGGTGGGGATCTCCGGCTTTTTGGAGAGGGTCTGCGTGTAGTCCGAGATGGCGCGGGTGACGGGGTCGCGCACCACCACGATCAGCTTGGTGTCCTTGGCCATGCTGTGGATGCGCCGCGGGGCCTCGTTGGTCACGAAGTAGCTGGGGGTCTTCTCCATGGTGATCTGGCCCTCCAGCGTCTTGGGCATCACGTTCCTGCACCAAAGCAGAGCAGGGGTTAGCGAGGGCCGGGCAGGGCGGGCACCTGGCACAGGTGGGATGGCACACGCAGGAGGAAGGACGCTGTCACTCCTGCGCGTCCCCAGACCCCAGCCCTGCCGGCTGTGCGTCTGCTCAGCCCCGGCCACGGTGGGCACCCAAAACGTAACAGCAGCCTCGGTGACACATTATGCAGACAATTTGCCACAGGCGTGTGTCGACCAAAGCTAATTGACACTAAACCTGCACAATACCTGCCTGCTCAGAAGCCATCTGCTCCCATTTGCTCAATTAAGCCTATTCACTCCCGAGCCGTGTACGGAGCGCCGCAGTTCGGATTACACAGGACCTTTTTGTTATGATGACATGCTTTTAAATGTCTCAGCTAATAAAACTTAATACAGAATAAGATCCCTTGCTTCTAGTACAATAATTAAATTTATTTACTATCTTGTGTGTGAGAAAGAATGACTTTTCTTTTATCTCTAATTCACATGCTCTGTCAATAATTAATTGCAGCTGGGTTTTGAGCTTCCTGTGCAAGCACTTTTATTAGCCAAAAGGAATTTGCCTACTGGATAAATTAGCATGTAGCAAGATTTTCCTGGATAGCATATTACCATATTGTAAAATGAAACTGCAGAGAGATAGCAGTTATGTCTAAGAAAATGAAGAGGTAAATTCTTGTCCCAGTGCCACCAGTTAAGGATTATCATAGCCAGCCAGGGGCTTTTAAGTGATCACAGAATCACAGAATAAGCTGCATTGCAAGGGACTCTCATGGTGTCCCCTGCAGGAGTGTCACAGCCTCGGTGACACCTGCTGTGCTGCCAGGTGGCGCGGGGGCTGGAGGCTGTGGCACAGCCAGGGCCTGCCTGCTGCCCACCGCCAGCCTCGCCGTGCCCCGGCCGTGGGCAGCCCCAGCCCGGCCGCAGTGCCAAGGGCAGCCACTGCCCCGGGGAGGCACCCACGGCACTGGGCACATCTCCCGGGTCAGAACAGAGCGTGGCCGTGCCCACGGCCTCGCAGGATTATCCCTCTGTACTGCAACTATTTTTAGTACAAACATATGGTGAGGAAATAGCGTGGATAGGCTTGAAATGGCTCTGTGAGAGCACCTTGGGCAGCGACAGCCACAGTAAGGCTGACGTCAAAGTGCTGGGCCCCAGGAAGACCCATTTCAGGAATAACACAGCTGAGGCCTGGAGCAGAAGCAGAGGACTGGCACAGCCTGCTAGATGTGCCTGTCACTGTCACCTCCTATTTGTCTGCTAAAGGCATCATCTGGCTTTAACGCCTCTGTAATCTGTGTATTCACGGCTGGTGCCGTCCAGCCCACCAGGCTGGCTCTGCTGAGAACGGAGGTGAGGAGGGGTCTCAAGGCAAGAGTGAGGGTGGGTTTGCTGCTGCCTCAGGGCTGCCGGTGTCCTCAGCACTTTGGGTGAAGAGGCTGGCGTTCCTCGGCTGCCGCTGTCCTGCTGCAGAGCCTTTCCTGCTGAACAGTCCTGATGAGCACCAGCAGTGCAGCCTGCAGGGCTGCAGCTCTCCCTGTCTCTGGGCCAGCATGCTGCTGCTGCCCAGGCTCTGTAGGGAAAGCCATCCCCGTGCACCAGGTCCTGCTGCAGCTGCCTTCCCAATGGCAAGGGGCCTGCAAGCCTTCTGTCCAGAGCACTCTGGTGCTTCATGCGTGCCTTGCATCAGCCACTTGAGCAGCAGTGGCACGAAGGGAGCAAGGATTAGTCCGAATGGTGGATCTTGACGTATTTATTCCTTTAAGAAAAAAACTAAGAAAAAAAATAAGAGGGATAGGAGCACCTGGGGACTGCAGATGATGCAGAATTACAGACCAGCTTCCCTGGGGAATCCAGTACCTGAATTTAACAGCCCTGTGGGAAGGAAGAAGCTTTTACGGCTATGCACATCACAGCAAGACCCAGGGATGATCAGGGATGAGCCCTTGGGTGCCCACTGCTGTCCTACAGGGCGTGGGGGAGTGGGAGGTGCTGCCCCCAGCAGCCCTGCTCCGTGCCCACTCTCACAGCCAGCCCATGGGGAGGATGGGGAGCGACCCGCCTGCAGCAAGGACAGCAGCCACATGGCGTCTGCTCCCCACTGCAGCACCTGATGCCCCAGGGCTTTTGGTTTGGTTTGGTTTGGATAAAACAAACACACTGGGGGTTTATAAAAGAAGCATGAACAAACGTTAATTACAACTGCCCCTTCAGATGATGTTACCATAATAAAGGAGAGCCAAGAAATTCCAGAGCTAATAATCTGGAAGTGTTGCCACATTTAAGGACTGTGTTTAACTCTGTGCACAATAAAGACAAATAGATGGATGGGCTGGCCCTGAGGAGAGAAAACAGGGAAACAGCGATCAAGGAAAAGAGGAGGAGAAGCAGATTCAGCACTTGCTGCACGGTTTTAAGCATAAAGCTGGAAGCCACGGTTTGTCCTCAGGACACGCTGGCCATGCAGAGCCCGCAATGACTGTGGCTCTGGGACATGCATACAGAAAGGCTTTACCCAAACTCTGCTGTGTTTCAGAATCCCGCCACGCGCTGCCCTGCCTGCTGGGCAGGAGCTGAGCTGGCTGTGCAGGTGAAGGGGGCTCAGCCTGCAGCCCCGGGCCGGGTGCCCTGTGTGCAGCCGGTGGCACACGGTAAGCGCCGCCAAACAGAGAGCAGCGCGCTGCACGGCCAGCTCCTGCTGCTGGGAATAGCAGGGGTGTCGGAGCTGGAGCAGCCGAGCCTCCGGCGCGGCAGGAACGCTCCTCAGAGCAGTTAACCTTCACAGAGCTGCTGCCATGTGCTCTGCCCTAATTGCGTGTGTGCCGGCAGAATTCTAACCAGCTCTGTGTGTGCAGGCAGAGCAGCGCACAGGGCTCCCCTGCAGCGGCTGGTGCAGAGCGGTTTGCAGCGTGGGGCTGGGGCTTTGCTCCCTCTGAACACGTTTTGGCATTCCCGCAGTGTTTGTGTCCCTTTCGAGGCCAGTCTGGTCGCTGCAGATGCACGGCCAGGGAGTGACCGTGCCTGGCATGCCTGCACAGGGCACTGCAGGGGCGAGGGGTTGGGATGGGACATGTCTCTGCCACTGCTGTCTCCCCACCTGCATCTCTTCTCTCGTATCACGGCTCCCCTGGACAAGGGGAGCAGTGACAGCGATCCCCTGGCCGAGCTCTGCTGGCACAGGCACGAGCCAGCCCTCTGCCCCCTCACGGGACGGGCACCGTCCCCTTGAGCTGCGGGTGCAGCAGCACCGCTCTGTGCAGTGCCAACACCGGGCTGCCACGCTGGCCTCGGACCCAGGCATCTCCAAGCAGATGATCCAATATATATCACTGAGCACTTGCTCGGGCTTTGGATATTTCTCTCCTTTCCTGTTCGTTCCCCAGTGCTCTCAGAGGCTGAGGAGGGGCAGAGTGCTCTGTGTCCCCTGGGCTGCACAGGGGCTGCTGCCCCCACTCCAGGTTTCTGCTCTGTGCACAGAGAGCCCTCAGCAGGACAGCTGGCTCCTGCCCGCCCTGGCTTGGAGCAGGGACCCTCATTGGGAAAATGTGCTCCGGTAATTGCTCTTAACTGCTGGTTTCAAACAAGCTCTTTATTTTCAAAGGATACATTTTATAAATTTGCGAATTTGCATGTTGCCAAAATCCCCTTGTGGTTTATTTAAATCCAGATTATCTTGTTTATTCCTTCAGTCACAGCTGTCATTTATCTCTGTGTAGGCAGCTTGTTCACCATGTTGCAGGTTTCCTGCAATCCCACTCAAAAAGAGTCTTTGTTAACTGTATTTTCATGTTCTCAACAAGAGAAAAAACTTCACAGCAACTCCCAGGGCTTGTGGGATCACAGAGGAGGACGAGGATTTGCACAGCTGCCGTGGAAAGAGGAAATGGCCAGGTGCTGCAAGGGTCACCTGCCCACAGAGCTCTTCTCTGCTGCTCCTTGGGGTGGAGCAAACAGCTGCTTTTGTCTTCTGAAAAGACAAACATGAATCCTTTTTCTTTTTATTATTAACACATTCCAGTATAATTGCTTGAGCTGTCAGCTGTGACCTGCCAGTAATTCAGCAGGCGTGGGACTTTCAAGGGGAGAGCGGCATTGCAACCGAGCCCGCAGTAAGCATTAAAAGCAGAACCCATTTGCTATAAGCCCCCGAGTCAAATCTCTTGTTGAATTTGTTCAAACATAAATTTACAGCTGAATTTACATAGGTTTAATGTTTTATAATCTTTTCAGTCTGTGAATCTATATTCAAGAGTGAGTGCATTAGCTCAGAAATATTGTGCTTAACGCTGAAAATAATTTTAATCTCTCCAAAGTCCAATCCTTTGCACATCACTAAACCTCAGAAGCCAATCCCTTCTAATAAGAGACACAAAACCTGCATCTGTCGCTGCCTAATAGATTCACATTGCTCTAATTCAAACAGCTCACATATGTCTGTTAAAAAACACTAAACACAAATTATAAAGCCCTTTCAGAAAAGTGGGTGCCAGCTCAGACTGGGGGCCAAAGGAACTAGAACTATCCCCAGGAGACTCACTGGAAGAGTTTACTGGTTAGGGATCTGGTGGCTGGGAGAAGGGGGTGAACCGCCCCTCTCTGTGACTTGCATTCTGCTTTTGCAGGGCTTGTAACCCCAAATTAGTGGCTGCCGGTACCATTGGTTTCCTTCTCCAAAACAAGGAGCTTTCCCTCTTCCCAGGGTTTCCGAAGCCATTCGGTGTCCATGCAGAACACTCCTGTGAGGCGCAGCTTGGGGTTGCTCTGTGCCAGCCGTGTCCCCCGGCCCTGCGGGATGTGGGAGCCCCGGAGCCCAGCGCAGCCAGGGAACAAGAGGCAGCTGGGGCTGGGAGTGTCCCAGTGTCCCTCAGCAGGGCCAGCCCTTCCGCCAGCGCGCCCCGGGCTGCCTGGAGCCGGCCGTCGGTCCGGCCGTCGGTCCGTCCGCAGCGCGCTCCCGGGTTGCCATACCAACGCAGGTGCTAACGCATG